TGAAGGAGTTAGAAACACAGATGTGAATTATAACTCTGAAATCCTGGGAATGCTCCAGATCAAGCCATTAGAGGTAGGTTTGAACTGTACGTACAGATCCAGGTCTAAAATTTTTGTTGAAACCTGTCTTTCCTGAACATTTCTACAGCAACTACTGAATGTATTAAAACCAGCAATGCTCCATAGGCTTAAAAAAAATACCAGTTAACCCATCTTAGCTGTATTCAGTCACAATTCACAATAACTAACTAAAAGCATTTCTGTAAAAAGGCAGTAAAAAAATCATCAGTTGATTGTAATGGGACAGTTTAAACAGGTCAAATTCATGCTAGATTACTGCAACACCATCAGCCACGTACAGCTGCACAGTGAACAGTTTGGCCCGGTATTTAACATTGGAAACATAAATAATTTAAGGAATTTTCTTCCAAGTTTGGGACAGAACTTGGAAACATTGCATCTCTTTTCAGTCGTTTTTACACACACACAAGCTAAAATCGTAGTTTTGACTAGAGCAATAGTGTTGGGTGGGAATGAGGACGGCCATTTCACAAGCGTGCAAGTGGTGGAAGATAGAAGATGCCCCCAAGTCTGTAACACTGCACAGAGCTAAGGGCACAAGACAAGCAATGAAGGGACACTTGCCATTTTTCAGTACTCTCAACAGCAGGAAACTGAGGGCTCCGCATTTATGAAAATACTGAGCTAATTGGTGCTTTCATGTGTAGACTTCATAAATGCAACTTGCTTCTTTTTTTTTAAAGTAAAACATATTTGCAAAGCACGTCACAATGATTCTTCTCACGCAAAAGGTGCAGAGGGTGTGGCACAAACCAGTCTGGCCTTAGCCACCCAGTAGTGTGTAATAAGAGAACCGATAATAGAAACTGGGTCTGCTGAATGTGGCCTACTGCTGTGTCTGCAAGCCATCTCGCTTCACTGCTGATCTCAATGCCTGATGATCGAATACTAGATATCCACACCTTGAAAGGGGTAAAAATCCACATCTCAGAGTCTAAAATCTTTCCTCATGAACTGTACTTTAAGAGGCAGCTGAAAATAGATCATGAGGAATATGGAGGCATTGGCAGAACTGCATTGTCCAGACATACTTGAGAAAGTATTTTTACCACTTTTTAAATGGCCTGGTGACTGCCACTGCCACTCTTTTCGAACTACTATAAGTGTGCACCTTAATAACATAAACCAGCACTAAGTATTTTCAGGAATTCATCTCATAGTCTCATACTTTATGTTATGCAGTAGCAGGAGAGAAGTCAAAGCAAAATGTATAAAGCCCCTCCCTGAAGTGCGTAGTCACAGCTTGTCTTGATATCAAAAGTATTTGAATGAGTAACTCCAGTACTGCACCCTCAAAGATTATAAAATGTTTTAATAAACATGCCAGGTCTGATGAGAGAAAAGGGAAATACACAGTAATAGCATCTAAGTGTAAATATTTACAAATCCAAATGACAGCTTAAAAAAATTCCAAAACAGTCCCAATATGTTTCATTACTTGGGAGTAAACAACAAAAGTTAGCCAAAATGAATGTCACTGGTTTGTGTATTTTGAATGCCACTAAAGCATAAATCTGTGTGGAAGGGTTTCTAGGTTTGCAATATTCTGAGAAGTGGCTTTCTTTTCTGTACTAGCAAAATCCACAGAGAACTGTTGTTCTGCTGTAGACTTCTGAAAGTCTCAAAGTATACATAGTTAAAATAAAGAAGAAATTAAGTTTTAGTTATCAGAAGTGTTGTTGAGTAAAACTTTTCTAGCCCTTTAAAACTGCTGAACTCACACAGGTGGTAGATCAGGAACCTGAGAGAAAATAGATCTCAAGAACAAGGCAAAAAGGCAGTAACAGTACCCGCTTTCTGAAGTGATATAGGCTCATCCTTTAGGACAGCATTAGGTTAGTCTCTATACCTGTCCATTTCTCAGGCTCTCTGCTGAAACTAGCAATAGTCATTACTTGGTCCCTTGAGACAAGACTAAAATCATTCTTTTGTTCCAGACATATCACCGAATAGCACTTAGGACGTATCTGCCATTTCATCAGACCAGGTACAGCAACCCAGAAATGAGGGTTCCCTGTCTCTTAATATATTCCCTGTCCAATTGCTCAACATTTATTGAAAATTAACATATAAAATGATGATGTATTCCTAGCACTAATAATGCCTGTGATCCTCCTCAGCTGCACACCAAAGGTGTGGCCTATAAATGACTGTGGATGTGTGTGTATATGTAAACATATATACATGCCTATACATTTCAGTTAACATGGAGACAGAACTGTAAGACTGAGGGTTATCATTAGTTCTGCAAACCTCACTGAAGTAAATGAAGTACTTATTTTTGTTTTTAAGTTTGGTAGACATATATGGTATTAATCATAGTAACTGTCTGGAACAGTAGTTTTTGCAGGGGGGCTGGTAAGTTTTCGTTAGCAATTTGGCAAAGCTGGAACATATTCATAAGGAGTTTTATCATCTGTGACAAATATCTGGATAATATTTTTTATTTTAGAACTAATCCAAGTATGATTCAAGTCAAAGCTACCAGCATAAGATAAGCATTTTCTACGTTATTTAATTGTGTCAAAATAGCACGAAGGCAAGACAACAAACCAGAAACTGACTGCTGCGCTCCAGCACTTAGTTGCGTGCATTCTACTGACCACAGAAGTAGAAAGTGGCCTTTCACGTGTTTTTTAGACTGACATAGATCACTGCATTTATGGCATTTCGTGATCCTTCTTTGCATTTCACGTTAATGAGTGGTAGGCCACACAGTACCACATGTGCTCTGCTCACTACAAGATGCTACATTTCACCCTTCTCAGATGTACTGAGCATTAAAGTTCAGTGCATCTGTGAAATTTGGGAAAACATGAAAAACAGGGATAAGAATTTTATGTTTTACTCCCTTGTGGCTTCTACCCAAGACGTCTTTCTCAGATAACGTCACACAAACAAACAACTTGAACACAGAAGGAATGAGAGAAGCTTAAAGCAAACTGTCTCTGAACTGCGAGGAAAGTAGGAACTGAACCAATGGTCCCCCTTGCTCATTCTGCGAGGTTATATGAGCAAGACAGTTATATCCATAAAAGAGAGTATCTTTCTTCCCTGCCAGCCTGTCTGAAGCAACTCCTCGTGGAAATCCCATACAATTCTTGGTCAGTGTGCCAAGAGTGAAAAAGGTAAAGACTATTAGTTGTCTTTAGCTGCCACTCGACACTGAGGGGGAAAGCACTCAGAATGGTCCATAGCAGTAGGAACTAAGAGCTCCAAGTGAAGTACTTCTGACAACTGAGACAGGGCTGTATGGCTCATTTTCCTTGTCCAAGAGTTTGGGAGGGGGTAGCAGAAGACAATCCCATCCCTAAGTCAGAAGTAGTCCTCAGGAAGTGAGCAAGCTGGAGCTTGCTGATTTTCCTTTCTCTTACATGCACTACACACATGTAGAGAAGAATGGAACCAACAGCTTTGTGGCTGGGACTGGTGTTTAAAGTGGTCTGAAAAATGTGGTCTGTCATCATCCTGTTCCCTGCCTAGCAGTTAGTTCTGCCCCTGCCCCCTCTTAATTCCCAAGTTAATCCTTTGGCCCTAGTCCCAACATCACCTCTGCCCCAATTCTTTTTAAAACTCTTACAATTTTAAAAACAAACAAGTAGAACAAGAGTTACGAGCTTGTGCAACCTTCTGGTCAGTAATGCCTTGGGATTGGTGAGGTTTTGCAAAAGTTCTCAATCACATCTGTGTCATGATATATTTTAAGCCTTTCTTGTGGATCGAAACTCAGAAATGAGGGAGAAGGTGTACTTCAGACCAGCAATCAGACTGGATTTGGAGCAAACCAGATCAGCGTTTGATTTTATGATAGCTCAGACACCTCATGAGTTATTCTTGATGAACAGAAGTTGAGTGAATTGAAGTACTGAGAGCACAGTCTGCCGACACACTGCTTCAGGTCTGTCAGTTCAATGCAGTGTTTTACTTGGTCATTAGATAAGGCACTGAAGAACTGGGTTTGACAATAAGATCTTTAGGACCAAGATCACCTACTTGTTTGCACCATGCATACTTCAGTGGAATCTTACTCTGATTTGAGCCTCAAGGTGTAAAATTTAACAAATGAGTAATGCAAAAGTCAGTGTCACAATCATATTGATACGAAATGCGTTGGAAGATGTTTATTTTCTACTCTTGACTAATATCCCATGGTTCTTAACAATATTCCAAGTTGTCACCTTTGCTCTGGAAATGTAAGGACAAACCTCACATGCACATTGTTTTTGCATCTCCATTGAATGTCTCTGCACCCGCTTCCTCAGAGAGATTTTAATCAGCCTGCAAAAAGTAACAGAATGTCGTTGCTGTGTTGCAGGCAGTTGAAAAAGTCAGAACCATTCTTCAATAAATGCATCAAAAAGAGAGACACAAGATGTAGTTGTGTCGGCACTCACTAGCAGCCAGTCTCCCACCCAGCTGCTCACTCACTCACTCACTCCTGCCCTCCTCCATTCCCAGGTTGAAGTTCACTCCAAGAACCACTCCTCCTCTCCTTGTTATCACCACAGCTTCCACTCAGTCCCTCCAGTGAGGCAATGGGCAGCTCCTGCTTCCTTCTCACTCTTTTCCTCTGCTGCAGCGTGGATCCTCCATGGGCTGCAGAGAACATGTGCTCCAGCATAGAGCACCTCCTCCTCCCCCTCCTCTGGCCTTGGTGTTCCTTCAGTTGTTTCTCACTCTTTTTATTTCTTCCTCCTCTCTCTGGCTTTCTTTGATCTTTCTTAAATATGTTTCACTGAGATGCCACCATTGTGGCTGCTGGACTCAGCTGTGTCCTCTGATGGGTCCTCACAGAGGCCGCCCCTACAGCCAGTACCTCAACATTTATACCCAATACACAAGGTACGACCTCCTCTGGAACAAAGCAGAGAGAAGCTGTCCCCATCAGGACTAGCGGTGGTCTTTTGTAGGTGTCTCACCCCATCAGCAGAGTGGCCAGGTGACACCAGAGAGTGCTGCTGACGACCACCAGAGGATCCTGAGGGGAAAAGAGGAAACCACTCCAAGGCAGCAGGAACACTTGCGCTACTGGGAGGGACTGGGCAGGGCAGTCACATTTTCAGTTGTGATGGGGAGCAGGCTGCAACTGAAACTGGTAGGAGAGACCTCTCAAAGCTCTCAAGACCTCTACTTTCTCCCTGTGTTAGCCTGTACCACAGCCTGATGCTTGGCCGGA